ATATAACGGAGATAAACTCTAAAATGTCTTGCGGTAATGTTATAAATTATAACTTTCGGATTTTTTGAGAATTGTAAATAATATTGCATACATATAATAATGTAATGACATTAAAAATTCGGGTACATGCAACCTAAGTTTAATATTATTAATAGGGAGTTTTCGCAAGCTTACGATAACGAATACAGTTACGTCATCTACCCTGTCGCAACGAAGGCGATTGATGTCTTTTGCAGGAACCAAGGATCATATTCAGCTCGTACAGCATATTTTCAAGAATGTTTTAGGCACGAATGATGATAATGATAATGACGTATTCGTTTTCGTAAGGCTGCGAAATCGCCCTAATATGATACTATTCTTACCAACAATCATACGTTACTTCATCCGCTCCTAGATGAACAAAATCATCTGAAAAAACTTCAACAATTTCCCGAAAGAGATTTCTTACGAAAGTGTACGTCTCATTCTTTATAGGATTTATTGTTCCCAGACGTCCAAAGGGTTCTCCATTTTCATAACACATTGTTATAATTTCAGGATGAGATCTTCCCCATGATTCCATGTGACCGGGGGTGTCCAATTCAGGAATAACTCGAATGCCTCTAAGCCTCGCGTACTCGATGACACGGGTGACGTCATCAGGTTTGTACACTTTTAACTGAGGATGATACGCACCCTACAATCGTAAAATAAAACATAATACACTCAGGTGCTGACGTTGACGTCGTAATAGTGTGACCACATTTTATATATCCCTGATCCACGCATTTTTAGCGTGTAACTGTTGTTGTGCAGTCATATATTACTACTGCACGTGCTCTTAATAGGCTATTATAGGCTCCTACACCTTAATGTACGCGCCTAGTAAATAGATAGGCCTACTATAATAAGCAATAATTATCACATTTTGAAGACACCCGTAAAAAATACAACTCGAAGAAGCCATTATTTCCCGGTTTTAAAAAACTCTATAGAAAAATTAGTGCATGCTAAGGCTTACAAAGAATTTAAACATTAAACTTACAAAATGTACATTCTTATATAGCCTATCATCATTTTATAGACGAAATATTTTCTCACTATAAAAGATCTTGCCTTTAAAGAACTAATAGATTTAATTTTAATCTTTTTCCTTGTTGCTGTTTTTTAAAAATTTTATTGACATTTTTACTACTTTTAGCTTGATGTATATTTATGTGTTTTGTTTTGTTTATAGAACATTTTATTAATATTTGTTTTGAATTAACTTTAATGTTATAGTAATTAAGTTTACTTAGAGACAGACCCTCTCGTCCAGCTGTCTTGATTGCTAATAAAGAATAAAGAACAGTTTTTTTGTCGATTTATTAAAACGTTTTCTTTATTTACTAGTTTAACAGGTTTTGTTGTTTTCGAGATTTTCGTAAATGCAATTTCAAATGTTTTGGTAGTTAGAAAGTAACGTTTATAATGATGTCATCGCCACAAATCGCGTTTGTAAAATAAAAAATAGAGTTCGTATATGGGGAATTTTTATTTGTAGGACGTTGCAAAGGTTACTTTCTGAGTTTAAAACATGCTGGTTGGCACTAAATTCTGAAATTAGGCTTCAGCAAAAATATGTAATTGTGCTTTGGCAACTCAAGACTAATTATATCCTATTGTTAGAGCTATCAACAGTAACAAACTATACAGTATTCTTTCCAGACATTACGGTCTATATCGGCTCCTTTTCTACCAACCTTTTCACTAAGCTCAGGATAGACGCGGCTTACAAACGGAAATGCTTGATGATCAACGAGGTGCCAGTGAAACACGTTAAACTTATTATATGACATAGCATCCTAAAAATAGAAGAAAATCGTTAAAAAAAACTGATGTGGTAAAACTTTGCTTTATTAAAGTGACTCTCTCATCCACTTTCGTTTATCCATTATAATGATATGTTACTATTCAATAATTGTCATAGCTTATTAAATACCTAGAAGGCAGTGGCGTATCCAGGATTTTGAAAGGGTGGGAGGATGGGGTGGTGCTGAATATACATCCACTTAACTTTATGCAAGGCTCTCACCGAGGAGCATGATACCAATGACCATGACTACACTATTAATAATTGGTTGTTAATGTCTAAAATACGGTACGTTACCATATATTTTCATTAATTTACTGTTATTTCTTTTAAACGTTTAAACAAAAAGTGGTGGGTGGGGGCTAAGGCACCGTAAAAGCCCCTTTGTTACGTCACAGCCAGGGGACTTGAATTACAAATGAGGAGAGGCTGGCCATTTAGTCAAAACTACGTTAGTACCCAATTCCTGTGAGGTAGTGGTGGAGTCTGGATTGACCAGTGTGGTTGTAGAGTAATGACTTTAACGTGGTAGAAGGTCACGCAAGCGAAGCCAGCGTTATTTCCAGGCCTTTGGGATGAGTCCAGGAAAATCGGTGGGGATTGAAAGCCTAATACTAAAAATATAATCTAGTGATTTTTTAAAAGAGGTTTTTAAATTGAGTTAAGAATGCCTTGATCCCCGAAAATATAATTAAGCCCTTTACTTTTGTTGGTATTTTGAATTGTTCGTGTTTTATATTCAAATAAAAATAATTAAACTAAACATATGAACTAAAAACTTTATTCGGGTTGACTGTTAAATATTGGAAATGGTGATGGAAACTACAATGATACCAATGTAGACAAACGTTAAAACCATGTCACGCTATACTTACCAAATGCTTTAGGATGATCGGTAGTGGCATATAGTGACGTGCTGTGTCGAGAAGGAATCCTCTATGTTTGTATCTTGGGTAGTCAGTGATTGAGGTTGCATTGATCATATACTAAATATAATATTAACGAAATAAACGCTTATGCTCAGTTTGACTATTCATGGGGAGAGATATTATGGCTTATTATGGCCTAAAATTGTGCTTTAGACTACAATATTTGTGATTGGCAAAAAAAAATAACGTTTTCAAAAGGCAAATTATTATTTTTGGTCGGACGACAAGTCGTGGCGTCAGACGACGGGAAGAAAATGCCCTCCCTGACCCCCACCCCGCTGGCGCCACCACTTTATAGCCCAGCTGATAAGTATATAGGCCTAAGCGATACTTTTGTAGAGTAAATGGAAGTACTGTAGGACTTCTCAGCTATTATTAGCTATTATTTTTGCTGTTCAATTTATATTATAACAAATTTAAATATATTAATTTAACAAAACTATACAGTGACTGGTAAAACAACACTGTAAACCTACCTCGCCCTCATCATCGAACTGATAGACAAGCTGACTAAACGTTTCCAAACCTGTAGAAGAAACACGGTATCGTAGCATTTGCCCAATTTAATCAAGTTAAGTGGATTATTTAAATTTATTCACATTGTTTAAATAAATAAAGGATTACACTCGTTTAATTGTTATCTTGTTAATGCGGAATGAAAATGGGGGATTAAGCTCCTTCAGTCCCAGTTTTTAAATATTAAAATAATCTATATCCTTTTAAAAGTTTTCGTTATATAATTTATATATATATTTTATATAATGTATGTATGTTGCACTTATAGGATATTGCAATACATACACATTTTATATATGTATAGTAAATCCAATCTAAACTTTCTTAAGGTAGACTTAACGTTAAAACATAGAGGATTACGTTACGGATGAGAAAAGCTGCTAGATTGATTTCTTAAGGTAGACTTAACGTTAAAACATAGAGGATTACGTTACGGATGAGAAAAGCTGCTAGATTGAGAAAAAATCACTGCCTTACCTCTAAGAATACCCCATACTTCATTTGCAGTTATTTTGCCTTTGCCATTCTCGTTTATTTCAAGTTCATCTGAATGAGAAATTTAACAAAGTATTCGAAAATTCTTCTGATCTTTTATTCGAAATGCTTATTTGATTAATTTCATGGATTTTTTATTACAAAAAGAAAACCAAAAAACTTCAATTCCTCCTCCAATCCGATAGTGTTAGTACCACTTCCGCAGAACGTACCTCTTGGGGCTGTGGCCAAGGGGATCCAGGCGAGGCTTCGGTATACGTCAACGGAAGCTCGGGTATAATGTAATATAACTTTGACGCATCTAAGCCTACGAGACAAAACATCGACAATGCGTAAATCCTAAACATTTTTTGGTAACCACTTGTTCAAATTTAGTCGTTACAAATATTTTTCTCAAATGGATACAATCCACAATAACATAATAGATATAGGCCTATTGACATAAGTATCGACCTTTGAACTTAATATAATTAGGTCTTAGTATACAAATTGTTATTGTTAGCTCCATGGCGTTAACTAATCTGGGGTCTGCACGTAGCGTTAATAACGCCACGAAGGTGGCGTTGTGAGTGGCGTAAGTAACGCCACTGCCTAATTCACACACAAAGGCGTACTATACACTACGCCAGGCTTACGCCGTGTGTGAACTTTAGTTCAGAAGCTAGGACAATGGTTTTATAGGTGGAAAAAAGATCTGTAACACGTTTTTGAAGATATGGGAAAGGTTTGATGTGGTAAATGGCCCATAATTCCCAACATTTCCTAACAATGTTTGACGTTTTCTTAACCTTTATAATGAACCATAATGAAGATGTATTCGAGACCACTCTGTGTATCTGAAATTTGGGGTGGTCTCGGGGTTTGTTTTAAATGAGAAACCTTCAAATACAGACAACAGGCTTGAAGTGGTCTCCAAGCAGCATAATTGGAGGGTAACCGAACCTGAAACCTCTAAATGAAGACCGAAGATAAAAGTGGGTCTCAAAAAGACAACATGGGACAACCATTTATTTATTTCAAAGAAACTTTTGTTTGCTTTTAAATCCTTTTTTTCACCAATTTAAAGCTGTTTAAAACATATTTTTTAAAATCTGAACAGCATACGGTAAGGTAAACATAACATTGACACTTTATTTGACCAAAGTTATGTTTAAGTATGCAGGTGTCCATCCTTTACATAAAGAAAAATGTTATTTTCTTTTGTGTTACTTGGCCATTCCTTAAATTCCCAATTTTCAATAAGCAATTCTCCAATGAGTTTGAGAGTTCCTCGTGGCCAAGATAAAGTGGGGGATAGAAAGTCCTGTAGCTAAACTCGTTGATCGGGGTAGGGGCACCACGTACTAGAAGGGCCACGCCCACCTCAGTAACGCTATTTTTGGAGCTGAATTTGAATGGCAATGCACCAACCCCTTTTGACTACGTGGCTGAATATCCACTTCTTTTCACATCAAAGCGAATACCAACAGGGAAACACTCAGATGACACTCTCCTTTCAAATCTTTGGATGATACCATTAAATCAGGTAACCCATCTTGACCAGAATTCCCTAATATTTTTCACTAATAATTGTTTTTGTTACTATAAAAAATAATTTGCTTCTATTTTTAATTATTTACATATCTTTGATTTTAGCAAGGGTGAGGGGGCAAACATTTAGCAGGGAATTTCCACCTCCCCTTGGCTACGGGGCCGGGGTATAGCGCAGCAATTGAATGGCTGAAAAAGAAAATTAGAAACATATTACTATCAAATTAATTAGGGATAAGTAGCTGATTCAAGATCCCTTTTTGGCAATAGCTGCCAACAGACTGTTGTAAAACAATTACTGAATATTTTATGACAGCCAGTGGCCTAAAACTTTTTTTTTTCTTTTAAAAAACTAGCTTTTCCAAAGATAATACATTTAAGAAACCTTTATTTATAATGATAAATTTATGAAAATACATCTTTCATAATTTTGAAGTTCAATTTTTCAAATTAAAGAGTATTTATTGTTTAAAAAATCTTGAATCTGTTTGATTTTATTTTTAAATGTGGTCTTTAATTGTCATTTTGTCACTTGGTACTTCTCTCTCTCGAATTAGAGGGGTCTCACAATTAGAGGGTGAGCTCGTGTTTGTGTGAAAAGGTCAGTACCAATACCAGGAATCTCTGTAACTGAGCATTGCTCCAACAAATATTACGGTACTAATACTACTGTATATTTTACGAATGATGTTCAGTAGGAAAACGTGTTACTCTCAAATACCCTACAAATACCGCTCGAAAACTCTACCAAATATGTCCAAGACGTACTTTCTTTGATATTTTAGTAGAATACAGGTAAAGGCAGTGAATATTATTATAAATAACGTTATAGTAAGTATACAATAAGATAAAATAAGATATAATAGAGTTAGGATGAATGCAGAAGACTGGAAAACATCTTTGAAAATGCAGTAAAGCTTAAGGTGATCTCAATTTTTCGAACAATTGCAAAACCTTCAGTATAATGCTATTTTAAATAATCCAAATATAATACAATAACTTCACTGAACATAAACTACAAAACAATAAATCTAGGACAGGAGGCCCTTTAACCATTTAACCAATTTGACCTCATAAGGATAGACCCAATGATGGCCTATTTTAATGCCATAATTGATTAGGCAATTTAATAACGTATGCTATTTGTAATTGCCTCTTGTTTAATTGCCACTATTGATTAGTTATTAATCATAGTCTACATTGACAGGGAATCATTATTACGCATAATTGCACCAATAAATAGTAAAAAATACAATTATGAGCCACAATCTAGCAGAGCAGGCCTTTAGGATGGATCCCTCATTTGTGTACGCCGATAAAGAGTTTAGGGAAACTGTAAAGCGACAGTGGGCTGAAATGAGATATTTTTACAACAAAAACAGTGATTTGGCTACTGATAACGATTATGATGATGATGACAAAGCTTCCGACGACGACGTTAAGACGTTTGTGAATCTCGTGAAGCAGCGCATGTCGACGACCACTGCCCATGGTATTCCGCAAATCACAAGTGCCAAGACAACCCGGAGAAAGTTTTCATGGGTACTTTTGTTCTGCTTTGCCGTTGGAATGTTTTTCTGGCAAACACAAGAGCTGTTGATTCAATACTTTAATTATGATTTTGACACGACTGTTGAAATTAAATTCAGTCCAAGGTTAGACTTTCCCGCGATAACCATCTGTAATATAAATCCAGTAAAGAATGATCGCCTGCAAGAATCAAATGTTACTGATCTTAGGCAGAAATTTGACCCGACGTATGTTAGCCATGACATAAATACAACAAGTGCACTAAGACAGGAACGCAATGCTGATGACGAACCTCAATATGAAGGTTCTGATGAATCAACAAAACAGGTCAGACAACATTTATTATCATTTTCGTTTGTTGTTTCATCATTATCAAAAATTAATATTAGCAGCTTTGGTATTATTTATCTTCTCTTTCATTATCATCATCTACATTATCAATGTCACCGTCATAATTATAACTACAATAATCCTGATTATCAAAAATTATCAGGTATATTTTAATATATTTCGCAATCATCATCATCATCATTAAAATCGTTCTCATTCCTACCAAATCCAAACCAATCCAATTCAAAATTAGATTTAGGGAGCATCTAATAATTTTCTTATTATTCGTTATTAATATCATCATCATCAGCACCATCATTATATTGCCATCATCATTTTTGTCGTATTATTATACAGCCATGGTTATGTAGGAGCAGTCGGTGTAGCGGTATTGTGGCCCTGGACAAGGCACGTAGTCGTAGCAGTTATTATTATTTCTATTATCATTGTTGAAAGTTATGACATCATAGGCATTTATCATTTGTTTGTTTGTTTGATTATATTTTATGCTCAAAATCATACAAAAGGAATAAAAAGTAGGAAAAATGCACGTACAAAGAAACCCCATTCAAAAAAGAAAAACGCCAGAAAAGGTTTAAAAATTCAGTTCAAAAAACATAAACGAAAGGAAAATAAAGACACAGTTTTCAGCCGGGCACTCACTGCGTCGTAAGACGGTCGTACGACCGTCGCAAGACGAATCCACATCTGCTTCCGGCGAGCGACAGATGACGCAAGGCCGTCTGCTGATTGTCAGTGGCAGTCTGAACGGATCCTCATTAAAAAGCGATCCGTTGGTTCCGCGCTGTCGCGTGCGTTCGTCGTCGCGTTGCCGTCGCGTCGTCGTCGTGCGCAACCGGCTTTACACATCAAAAAAAAAAATTAAAAAAAAAATTACCCATCAGACTAAGAACCACGTCGAAAGCAGACAGAAAGAAAAACATGAAGTCAAAGGGAGTATTGGATGACCATTTAAACCTTAACATTTGCTTCCAAATTAATTTCTTTAAAAAAAAAATCTTTGTTGAAAAAAAAATTATCTGGTTGTTTGTAATAGTAAGTTTTAAGGTTATTTTTAATCAACCAATAACGGTGAAAACGTAATTACAGATCGTTTTATACTTCCGTCTGGCAGGGGAATGTGCGATGACGGTGCGCTGCTTTGGAATAGCGCCACCAACATTAGGTCCTACCTAATGGTACAGTTACCGATCTAAACACTCATTTAAACAATAATTATTTATCGGATCGGAGCATCGGAATTCCGTACGTAAAAGACCTGTCAGAACGGATAAAAATCTAGTCAACATCAAATGAACACTTTCTTTATACCAACAAACTCAGATAGAATCTCGTTCACCCCAAAGACCAAATCGCCAAAGATAAAACTTGCAGAATGTCTACCAACTTCAATGCCAAAAATGTTCACAAGCATACATAGGGGAAACAGGGAGGGCTTTACACACACGCATTAAAGAACATCGCACAGACACTGAGAACAACACGGAAGGTATTTTAACCAGGGCTCAAAGATCGTCAACATCATCAATTCAACATAAATCTGCACTCACTGATCACGCACTTGAACAAAACCATATCGTAGATTGGAATGCTGCGGTCTTACGAAAAGAGGGTGATACACAAAAAAGGCAAATAAAAGAGTCAATAAACATCAGGAAACATGTAAACACCATGAACAGGGATGAAGGAGCACATGATTTGTCTAATATATATGACCAGCTGCTATTTAAGAAGAAGGAGGGGGGGGGGGGATGAGACCTGACAGGTCTCGAAACGTTCTGTAAGTACGTTTTCACCGTTATTGGTTGATTAAAAATAACCTTAAAACCTAAAAAAATATCCTAATGCTTTTAGTCCACTTTTGTTCATGGTCTTAGTTACTGGTGTTATTGAGTCCTTATCTTTTTATGGGCATTTGAGTGATCTCGATACTAATACGTTTAGTTAATCGGTTTAAATCTACTTAAATATCTTATAAGCTCAACATTATTATTTCTCTGCGACTTATTTTTATCTTTTCAAAAAGTTTCTCCAAAGATGCATAAGAAGCATTAATGACATTTTGAAATTCTCTAGCCATTTTAAGGATATGTTAAGTTCAATGACGATAGAAATACTACAATGAATGTTATAGCAATATGATTATATAGTGCTTTGGGAACTTTCTCTTTTACAATTTCTCTTAAACTAAAAATGTGTAGCACTAATTGACGTTTGATAATATAATATTTCCTCCAATTGTACATAAGCCTACAATGTTGTTTCTTTCAAAGGTGTTTCTTCTTAACATAAAAAACAAAAATAATTATTATATTTATTATCATAAATAACTCAAAATTAAATGTGATTATTATTGTAGCAACCAACGAATTGGAACGACTGGAATAAGTTATTGGAAAACAAGACAGCATTTTATTCACTACCGACAACGATAGCATCAGAACAGGCAACACTAGTACGTATACTGTCGGACATGACTAACGGAGAACGGGAGTATTTAGGACACCAACTGAACGACCTTCTAGTCAATTGCTCGTGGATTGGCTACCCATGCTCACCACAGTAAGTATTATAAAGCTCACTACGACCATAACTCCATACTACGATTGAATATTGTATTGGCTTTTCCTGTATTAGCACGTAAGTGCACATGTACTATCGCCGTGGTTTTTACCACTTTTCCCGAACAGCTAATAACAATGCTCTTTGTATGTTCTGTCTTTACCAATTATTTCATTGTGAGTTTAATGAAAAAGTTAGCGTTTTCAATGTTTGGACGCTGAGCACAGCATCTGGACTCCATTTGGAACGAATAAACATTTTTTTTAAATCATGTTGGTTGCGTCTGTCAAATCATAATAGCAAAATTAGTATAAATACGTAATCGATCGATGTTTGGTGATGAATTCATTGGTTGGTTGGTTGGTTAGTTGGCCGATTACTTGGTTGATTGCATGGATGAATGACAATGTGCCATTTTTTTTTTCAAAAGAAATTTCAGCAGATTCCTGGATCCGTTACATGGTAATTGCTATACATTCAATCCACTTAATGCGTCATACGCAGGAGGAGAATACAAGACCACGTCATTCGCAGGACCAACTTACGGTAAGAGTCGTTATCTCCAAAATAATAAAAACATAAAAAATAAATAATAAAACATAAATCACCATACATTATGTAGAACAATAAATCTAGTTATTCATTATGATAAGCTGGCAAAGGTACTACAGGAAGTTATCATTATTACGGAGCTTGTCATACAAACCTTTATTCATAATTCGAGCTCGTTGCATAATCCATAACATCTCATAATTTCTTAAATATTTTCTTAACAGCTATATTGCATCGGAATTAACATACACAGAAACTAATACTAACCTATATACCTTAACATATTGCCACCAAAATTAAAACTCTGCCACCAGTGGTTGCCGAGATAATAAAGACAATATGGCTTACATTGAAACGTGTCAAAGGTTAAAAACGGCGTTTCCGGTCATTTTTAGCATAAATTTTCTATTAGAGTAAATTGAAACATGAATGCTCCAAACAAATTGACTCCATAATTAACTCTCTACCACCAGTGGTTGCCGCAATACAAGGACCTTGTGGCTAAGACCTTGAAACGTGTCAAGGGTCAGAAACGGAATTTCCGTTCATTTCTTAGCGAAATGTTACAGAGCAAATAGAAACATGAATGTTCCGAACAATTTGGCACCACAATAATTGTGTTAATTATTAACACTACCAACTGAGGTTTCGGAGATATAAGGACCCTATGGCTATGACCTTTGATCCTGATCTTTTGATTTTTCGACACATTTTGAAAATATGTTACAAAGCCAAAAATGATTCTTTGACCACCCTGAACCAATTTCTGATGTGAAATTCGCTGGATCTCAAAGAACGTACAAAACCTGGTTTGGGTTCAAGGGTAATTATTACACTTGAATTGTGAAAGAATGGAAGCTCTTATTATAAGAGCTTCCATTCTTTCACAATTTCCAAGTTCCATAAAGAAATTTCTTAAATTAAACCAATACTCAGTGTTATTTAGAATCTTTTAAAAAGGGTGTGGGCTTTCCAATAATCTGTTATGTTCTCTGCAAAGTTTAGATTCCTTTTACAGATCTGCTGGAAAAGTAATTTCTATTTTTACTCTCAGAAAAATTCTTGGCTTACTCAACTTAAATTGAAATTATCACCCATTCTCACTTTTTTTTTTTGG